ACTGTACTTATAACCCCAATTAAGGGGCTTATAACCTTACTTACTAAGTCCCCTGATCCTCCAAGTAGATTCAACCTGTTGGTGTTTGTAATGTCTCGGCCGTAGAGTGCGGAGCGCTCTGAGCAGCCCAAGCCGAAGCCCGGAACCTCGAGCTCCGTGACTCCCTGCCGACGGTCAGCTAGGCACGCCACAGCAAAACCCTCCCTTCCGAGGAGCTTTTTGAGATTCTGGATGTAGACAACTCCGGGAAGGTCAACCGCGAGGCGAAATTCTGGGGGTCTGTCGCAGCATGGCCGCTCTGCTTTGCGATACGTTGTGGTTGTAGCATCTGGGGATGGCCATCATGACTAATACTACTATGGCTACTGTGGTTGTTACCATTCATTGTTATGGCTGACAATTTTCGAATTATTACTCTTACTCCTTGCCTTACTCTTTGCAGTTGTTCTTATTGTTGTTATTATTTTTCGCCATTGCTGTTATTATCACCACTATTATGCTATCACCATCATCATCGTCGTCATATCAGACTCTGGTCGGATCGGTGCGTAGTTCGACTAATTGCCCTTGTGGCCTTGTTCCGATACGGGTTTCTTCAGGTTATGAGGGTCACGATAACTGCCACTGATACGGCGACGATGACAAGTGTCATCATCAGTATGCGTACCAGCCTCCACCATAGGTTTTGTGAGGGCATATCATGTGTTCACGACGGGGCTCTGGCTTTGGCTATTTGAAGGTTTGGGGCGTTGGGCTCTTGGCCCCAGGACCAGGGGGGTCAGAACACCCAGGAAGCCAGCTCAAAGTTGGCGTCGGGCCGTATACTTAGGAGCCCTTGTATATCTTTATAAACGGTTTGAAACCTTTACAACATCCTCTAAAACTCTATAAGCTCTATAAAGCCCATGAGGTTGTCATGCTCTGACCCCTGATCAGACCTATGAATACTGAATCACTGTGCAGGCACCCCCGCGCTCCCAAACCAAAGGTGCATTGATGCAATGTACTTTATAGTCATAGTTATAATACAATTATTGTAGAGTTATAAAAAAATAATATATATAAATAAATAAATAAATAAATATATATATATATAAGGATCATAGTCTTCCAGTTGCCAAAGGCAGAAGGACCCTGCCGTATCAACCGGGAGGCCCTTTGAGGCGGCAGAAGCCCCATGGTCCAATTTCCGCGGCCTTGTTTCATGGCAACAGGCAGGCCGCAAGGAAAGGCAGAAAGCACAACTCCAAATTTTACATCCCGGAAACCTACAAACCCTGCTAGCCTCAAGCCATAATAGCTCGAAGTCTTGAGTCAGTTTGACTTCATGGCTCTCCAATGCTGCCTTGCATGTCACAGGAGTTCGTGGAGGGACTCCTAAATATCTTCCTTCGCGAGGCGCCCTTGGGCATTTAGCTTGCAGGGCCTGGTGTTTGGGGTTTCGTCTTCCCTGGGTATTACCCTAACCCCCCAGGTACCTACTATATAGGGTACTGGAGCCCCTAGGGCCCTGTATAGTAGGTGCCTGGAGGGTTAGGTTTATGTCAAAGCCGGGGCGCTGGGATTGAGAGGCTGTGCTGGCTGTCTGATGATGTTTTCTTGGCCGTTCGGTGGTGCGTAAGGGGCCGTTTCGGTGTTCGTGGAGTATGGAGAGCCGTGCCAAGCTTACAGTTCTGAGGATTCAGGAAGGCACCGAACGACCTCAGCTATCATCGTTGCAGAACCACCACCGTGTACTGACAGCATCATAAGTAGCCCTTGTTCGCCAAAGTCATCATCATGGAAGCACCACCACAGTCGTCTGATGTCGTTTCCTACCCATCAGAATCATCTGTTCGCCCTCTGCACGGTCTTGTGGATCTTTGCTTCTGTGCTCATGATCCCACTTTGCCCCCATATCGCTCTCACCAACTTGCATGTCTTCCCCCATCCCGCCGCCCCGACTCCTCCAACCTCATCCAACGACGGCATCGCCCACGTCTTCCCCCGTCTCACTTCATCACCTGCCCTCTCGTCACGCTGTGCATGAACGTACGCCAAAGTCTTGCTGGTTCCACCGAAGGACTGGTGACTGGCGCGGACCCTAAACCCTAAAAGCTCTCCGGCAGTGTGGACGTTCATGCAGCTGGAAAAAGGTGAAGGCACTGAAAAAAAAGCAGCCCTGAACCCTCCCGACTTCTTTCCCCAGCCTCAGATCGCAGGAGTTCTGGGCACATTCCCACCCTAACCTCTCCACCCCACGGCGCTCCAACGCCAGGACTGGACGTGTCGCAGCTATGAGAGTCGAAACTGGCAAGCCTTCTAGGCCTGAAATCATCATAAAACTACATAGCCTATTCTATTCCATTATGTTTGACTCGATTACCGACACCCTGCATCGCTGGTCTCGGCTTTTGGAAATCAGGTCCCGGTGTCCGCGCTCCAGATGATAAAGATGCTTCGCCTGCTTCGGGAGACCATGTCCAAAGTGCAGGTTCCTGGTGCAAAGAATGGGAGGGTTTAGGGTTTAGGGTTTATATAGGGGCCTTAATAAAAACCTACAAAATTTTGAGGGTTCCATATTATAGTTATAGTATAATGGGCCGCAAGACCCTATTCTAATTATTAAGGCCCCTATATTACAGCGTTTGAAGCCTTAGCCGCTGCAGTATCCCTGGATGGTTCCAGGTTTTTTTCGAGAACGAGTTTCAGCAGCAAGAAGACTCCAAATGACCTTCGCTGTAACGGGCCCAAACATGTATCCTACACCTCGCGAGATGCATCATGCAGTCGGATTGGCGACGAGCTGGACGTCAGAGAGTGGAGTGCAGAGAAACATGTCCCTCAACCTTAAACCCCTAACGCCACGACTAAGCAAGGAAACTCGTAACACTTGCAAAACCTGAGACGGACCGCCTCAGACTTGTGCAAAGGGTTCGTGGCGCATCAGATGCGATACGGTTTCCCACTATTTTCTATGTCATCCTTTGTTACAAGATATCACAATGTGGTACACTGTTTTTCTATGGCGCACTAGAAATTATTACATGGCCATCTACTGTTACAGTTTCCTCATTCAGATATTTTGTGAATGTTGCTACCAGGGCCCCGCCTCCAAAAATGCACCTCCAGTCTCTCTAGGTTTCCCTGTGGAGCACCCTAAACCCTAAACCCCTATAGACCCTAAACTCCTAAATCCCTAAACCCTAAACCCTTAACCGTCCTGCCAAGTAGGAGGCAAAAAACCCTAAACCCAAAGCCAAGGTGGACATGGAGGTTATGAAGCAGGCTGTCGGCGCAGCCCTGTTGACGCCACGTTAAGGGTGCACATTGGTGCACTCGATTATAGGATTGAAGGGTTTGCAAGGGGCGTATATTTAAATAGAGAGGTCTCTATAAGAACAGGATTCCTTATCGTCTGGACTCCTCTAGGAGGAACCCTAGACCCTACCGCCCTAAACCCTAAACCCTAAGGGGGCTCGAAAGGTTTCGGTTGGCCGGAGGATCTGAAAATCTCAATCCCCAAGAGCTGCTGAAGCCAAAGTTTCACCAGCACTGCAAGCGTTGAAGAGGGCCTACATCCCGGCCTGGTTTCGTCCAGCGGAGATCGTGCTTGAAAATCCCGTGCAGAGAACCCAGAAAGTTGGAACACTAGCATCCTCATGCCCTTCAGGAAAAATATAGGGCATCCCAGTACTAATCCTTCTAAATTCATGTTCCAACTTTCCGGGGTTCACTGCAAGCCCTAACCCGAGAGCATAACTTATCAGGTTTTCGAGCTTCGGGGAATTCCGGCATGTCGGAGGGCTTCTGTCCCTCACTCCGCAGTGACCAGTTTGTATATTTCTACATAGTTCCGGACGGCGCTGAGGCAGCTCGGCGAGCCCTGAAGCCTGTTCTGGGGTGGCAAAAGAGCATGGTCGAACTTCGCACTCGGAAGGGTTTGCGTTACCAACTGACACTAGCAGCAGCGTGTAACAGTTGCTGGGAGCCCCTAGAAGAAGAGCTGCAGCAACAGAACACAACTTGTTGTTCGAGATTTGAAAATTTTGTCACGCCGCCTGCCAGAATAAATATCATAGCACAGCCCCAACGTCCACACCTGCAATGCATGTGAGCCGAAACGGGGGAGGTCAGACACCTAAACCCGTGCAGTAATCAGGAAATCTGTATACTCACAACAGTGTGCTCCTTGAATTTTGCCATCCCGGTTTTTCTTCGGAGCGGGATCGCCTGATCCCCCGAGGGGATCAGCGAGGAGCTTTCGGCACCTGGTACGCCTGCACCTTTGTGACATTGTGCTGTTGCACGTTTTGCTGCGCAAATGGAGACATAGTTTCAGCATGTGTGTCTGGATGTATGTATGTACATCTGCATGTGTGCTGTATGTATGTTTGTATGTGTGTATGTATGCATGCATGCATGTATGTATGTATGCGAATATTTACGTAGACCGGGCGACATGTATGTGTATGAATGTGTGTAAGTAAGTATGTACGTATCTACGTATGTATGTGTGTGTATGTATGTATGTATGTATGTATGTATGTATGTATGTATGTATGTATGTATGTATGTATGTATGTATGTATCGTATCTATGTATGTAAGGAAGAATATGTGTAAATATGTATGTATGTATGTATGTATGTATGTATCTATGTGTATATACATATATGTATATACATGTATATATATATACATGTATATGTATATATGTAGGTGTGTGTATACAGAGGCAGGCATGCATGTATGTATGCATGTAGGCATGAGGTAGGAGTGGGCAGGCAGGGCATGCATCCAGGCCGGGAGGTAGGCAGGTACGTAGGCAATGCGTACAAGCCGGTCACGACAACAAGAAACCATGTCCAGCTTTTCGGGTTTGGGTTTTAGGGGTTTAAGGTTTAGGGTTTAGGATTTTTGCTCACCCACTGCCCTGGCAGCCACCGTCCAGCGAATCTTATCCGCAAGCGAAAGTTCAGAAGGACTAAACATCGAGCTTTTGGGTGCTAGGCTTCATGCTGTTGTGACCCGACCACGAACCCCATGGATTGCAACTAGTCTCTCTGGTGGCAGAGGGGATTCAGATTTCCAGATCTCCAACTCGTACAACGAAGTGATGTGTGATCAGTTGTGTTGAGGATTCGTCAAGAAACACATTGCCAATGCCAGTTGCGGTGCGTGACATTCAGAAACTTCCCTCCGTCAAGATAGCAACATGATCACATGTTAGGGTCCAGCACAGTACCGGCCATTTTTGCACACCCAAGCAAAGGCCCTTAAGTGGTAGTATAGGGTTCCTTTATAGGGAGGCTTCAGAGGGCTTCAACTTACAGCTGCCGAGCTCCTGCTCCGGGGACCGCCTCCTCAACGCAGAAGATCGCTTCCTGCGAAAATGCTGGACTTGTGCAGGGTTGCACATAGAACTTGGCTAGAGGTTTGAGGGGTTCCCAGTTCGGGAAGATGCCTAGATTCAAAGTCTTTTTCCGAGCAGGAAAAAGAGGCACGCCGCGGGCTTTCAGCTCCAACAGTCGTAAACTCTCATTCTATGTATTCTATCGCCAGATTTGATTCGAGTTCTATTTCTAATTCAATTCGACTCCTATTCTGTTATGTTCGGTTATACAATATGATACAAAATAACATGGTGTAATGTAGTATAATAGTATAATGTAAAATAGCAGTGTACTGTATGGTATGGTATGGCATTGTGTTGTAATGTATTGTATTGAATTGTATTGCATTGCGTTGCAATGTCTTGTATTGTATTGCACTGTATTGCATTGCATGGTGTTCGCTGTATCCTGTCTTTTTGTATAACCTTACCTTGTCCTATAACATGCTGCTTTATACATTATCATACCAGGTGCTACTAGGCTTGACTATACCATACTGTTCTATGAGACCATAGTGGTTTTATTTTGGTATGTTATGTTAGGTGATACTATATATTACGTGATATGAGAACATTTCATGTTATATCGGACCACGTTATGACGTCTTGTGCTTTACACTCTAACCTAGTGCGTCATATCAAATCTTTTTGCAGTATGCGGCTTTCGATTCTGTTATATGGTATCATATTCTAGTAAACTGCTTGCTATGAGGCTATGATATGATGTGGTAGGATACGTCTTTGTTATGTTATACGTACGTATGTGTTTGTGTGTAGTCCGCAGAACTCAATCTTTTCAACATCTGTACCGATGGCCTGCATCGTTGCGGGATCTCGCCCTCTCTTCTTAAGTTTTACGGCCATCCTTCTCGGACTCTTTGCACTACTTGCTTGTCCGAATCTGTGTAGCAGCAGGGCTTGTTGAGTTATTTGAGTTCTATTTTTGAGGACCATGACCCTTCATGACCTCTGGCGGCTGGAGGAAGGCATAACTATAGGGGTTACGGTCAAGGTTTGGGGCTGGGCTCAGGGCTTTGGGCTTAGATCCTGGAGGTGGGGACGGTTTGCTTCACATGCAATGCAGCGCGTGTAAACGTTTTCGAACAGCACCATCGGCCGAAGACACGGAGGAGTGTAATATAGGGGACTGAATAGTCAAACAGTACTGGCCAATCTCCCGCCGAGCGCTCCAACGCCGAAGAGCCCCAGAAGTCAACAACACTGCAGCGCAAACTTCAAGCCGACATGCGTCGACTCCGGGTACCAAGTCCTTAATGCCTTCAGCTTAGAAGCTGAGAGAGCCCCGCAGCCGTCCTTTTGCCATGGCCTCTCCTGGCAGTCAGTGCGTGTCGCCACCTGCTGCATTTCCCAAGGGCGATGCTGGTGACATGGACTGGGGGCTCTCGGGTTCAGGCAGTGTTCAGAGGGTCTCCGATGCCATGCACTCCAAGGAGTTTGGAGGTCGGGGTATAAGCCCTAAACTTTCCTAAACCTTAGTGGCCTTAGTGTCGTGCTGAGGAGCCCCTGCTTGCCACTTCAGGTTTCCTTTGATGCTTTTGTCCCAGTGGGAGCCTCATGAACTCCATGTGTCAAGCCTCCTTACCCTGGGTGCTTTACAGTGTTCCTGCGCGGCTGCGGCCTCAAGGGTTGAGGTTTTTAGGATGATGCTATCAGCTCGCACCAGTAGTTCAAGTCAAGGACATCTGCTTTGTCGGCGTCTAACCGAATTCTACTATGGTCTTGGTAGTGTTTTGGTGCTCCTGCTGCTGGTGATGGTAGGAACCTCACGAAGCAGCAGCAGCAGCAGCAGCAGCAGCCGCGGCAGCAGCAGCAGCAGAAGCAGGGCTGCGACAATATTGCCGCTGGTCTTATTTATGCCGCCGCCGCCACCGCCGCCACCACCACCACCACCACCACCACTACCACCACCACCACCACCACCACCACCACCACCACCACCACCACCAGTGCGCTCACACACACACATTGATCATACATACATACATACATACATACATACATACATACATACATACATACATACATACGACAGAGACCGACAGACAGACAGGCAGGCCCGAACCCACCAATTCCGCGCCGTGCGTGGAAGTAGATTCCATAAGCCCGAATCCGCATAATTACTGGAATCACTTCAACCCCACTTACTTTATTCAGGTTAGGCCTCAGAGGGGTGTTCGAAGTTACGCCTGCCAAAGTTAGAAGAGCTCTGCAGAAATGAATCATCGCCTCACCATCTCTACCAAACACAGCAAAGTTCGAGATACACAACAAGGACCAAGGAATACAACCTGTAATGGACCAGCTGAACGATAGCCTTTCAAGCCGGGAAGATGTCCTGATCAAATGCCGGAAGGACTTGGACGTTTCTGTGGAGTGGCTCTGGGCTATTTTGCACAAGCACCGCGAGGCCATCCTGTAGATGTTCCCAAAATCGTGTGTAGGTTGTTTGGGCCGGCATATCTGGTTCAAGAGAGCGGGGTCAGGCACAGCCTGTGGCCTGCTCTATTGGAGTATGTATGGATATGTATGGTGGCCCCCTGATAGAATGTCGAGATTCCTCTAAGCACATCCTCGCAGGATCTCTGAGATGATCCGATGGCCCAAGTCAAGAGTTTTCCTCAGTCCCATATGAAGGATTTCGGTACCTCAAAATAAAGATGACAGGGCTGCCGTAAACTCTCACAGAACCCTGTTTGAATTATAAAGGCTCCCAGTAGTGCGAAAGAAGAACAAAATCACGATGTCCAGAGGCCATGCAAGGCGTCCGCTCCCAGCAGGTTCGGTGTAGAGCTTGGGCTTCAGAGCTTGGAGTTTGCGGTTTTAGGGTTTAGGGTTTAGGGGGGTTGGGCTTCAACACGAGTGGGGGTCGGGGCCTGGATGAGCTTAAGCCAAGTTTTCCGGTTTCG